CTGTAACAACATACATACATGCATACTATGATTTTTAATTAGCCCTGATCTTGCCACCCTTTGCTTGTGAATGCGTATGTTTGTCTGTCCACTTGCAGTGCTGGATGCATTAGGGCCTTTCCCAACTCGGGTTTCCCAGGAGTACTTCAACGCCACGTGGTTTCCCGGCTGGCCCTGGGGCGACAAGATCCATCCCGATGCAAATGGCCATCGCGTCGTCGCTGAGCTGATCGTGAACTACATCCAGACTATCTACCAGCACGCTAACCAGTTCCGTGACCACCCACTGCCGATGGAGTACGTGCCTCGAGATCCTATGTTCATCGATGTGAGATCCAGAGACATGTATCTGGACTTGCAGCCCATCTCACTGACGAGCTACCACTTCAACTTAAGGAAGGTCAATAATTCTCCCATGGACAACGACAACTGCAAGGCGTGGCGATTTTATGCTGATGTCCCAAATAAGCCAGGCTTCATTTCAACGACAACTAATTCGTACTGTCAGTTGTATCTTCCTCCGAAGGACGTCCAACGGCTAACGCTTGGGGAGGCTCATGTGGAACTGCTGAAGTCGTACATGCATATGGGCACCGTCGCCGTCACAATTTTCAGAGGAGTGGCTGGACGCGACGGGACTTCTTGCGCAAGAGGCGATTTACCGGATTCCGTACTGGGATCTCATACGGTTGATTGCTTGTGGTCTGAGCCGGTGTCTCTAGCAAAAATCGAGGTGTTCAAATTCCAGCTACCGCAGCCCCGGGATGATAGAACCTGCTTGATCCTCGACTTCACCATCCGAGCCACAAATCGAGAGAGCAATAAGATCAAAGTTCTAGGATTTTCCCTGTTTTAGACGATTAACCAGCAGCACCGAAAACGCAAGCCATTTTACGAGTAATCGCATCGCGATAACGAGTACGTATTTGTTCGTTCTACCTGATAGGCAGTTGCGTGTCTTTGAGAGGCGTTACTATTTCGCAGACGTAAGCGCAGTAATAGACGGAGCTGATGTTTGTCTTGCCATCATTGTTAAGTTGTGGACATGTGGTGTGCGATCGCGCGTGATGACCCTAAAATTAGCGCAGGAATGCAGTTTGCAGTTGGTTCACTGAGGGGTATTCAATACTACGAGGGAAGTTCCCTCACTGAAGGCGACCCCCTCGCTGTCATCACCTCTGGGCCTGTCCAGCGGCACAGGCAGTAA